TTGGTTAAAATGCCGATTAATTTATATATATATATATATATATATATATATATATATATATATATGTTTGATTCCATCTGCGCCCAAACAGGACCCGAATATGTTGTTCGTACGCTAGGACGAGGAAAGCTAGAATGTTTTTAGCACCCTCATTCATTACGGATTTCGGATCGAGAACCAAAGACTGGTTGAAAGAGATAATAGCAAATTTTTACTATTACACGAATCTTGCTTTAGGTGAGGTCTGTTTTTCTTATGGTTTTTGAGGAGTTTTGAACGAATCTAACCTTCAAAACCGTCGCAGATTACTTTTAAAAAATGTATTTACTCCTGGGATTTCGGGGGTGGGGTGACCTCAGAATCTAGCTATCCTAAGACATTTTTCTCCTGTCTCTAGAGGTGAATTTGTTTTTTTTTTTTTGCGGGGGGTGATGTCGTAAATTAAATTAGTTTTATTTTAGTTAATCCTCACCGGGAGTTCTCGTGCGATAAACCAGAAAGTCTCGATATCGAGGTCGTATTTTGAGTGTCAGTTTTGGTTGTTTGGTAGTATTGGACAAACCATCGGTTTGTTGGGGTATAACACAGGCTAGAGAAACGTTTCTGAAAATTGTTTTTTTTTTTTTTTTTTATTTTTTTATTTATGTGTTTCGAACGATTCTGACCTTCAAACCTTTCGTAAATTACTCGTTTTTTATGGTTTCACCAACCGAGAACTGGTTCTCACCAGGAACCATCATACTAATGACTGGAGTGGGTGTGTGTAGAAAAAGTCATTTCCGACGGTTTTGAAGATCAGATTCGTTCAAAACACAAAGACCTCTGAAGATAGAGTAACTGGTGTAATATTAAAAAAAAAAAAAAATACCGAAATAGGACAGAGTAGCAATAAAGTTAATTTGATAAAAAAAAAAAAAAATAAAGCTCTTGTCCAATGTGTCAGAGAAACTAACAAATACGGTTTTTATAGAAAAAATAAATTGAATACTTTCAATTGTCCGCTGAAGTCTAAGGCAGAACGGGTAAAATAAAAACAAGTGTCAATTTTAGCTTTCATACAAAAAAAAAAAAAAGAGTAAGCATCTACAGGTTGCTATAAATTAGTGCCATGCATTTAAATAATTAGCAGTCTAGTCCCTTCTTCAGGATGTCCCCCCCCCGTTCTTTTTCGTTCGAGAAAAAAAAACAACAAAAAAAAAAAAACACAAACACAGTAGGCGATGTCACTAAACGACTTTGCCAGTTATAAAATTATAGAAAGTCGGTAGACAGAACACGAATTCTATTTCTAGTGTGGCTTTTCTTGCGATACAATTTCATAAATTATTTGAGAAATGAAGGGGAATTTATTCAGTTTTTACAGCATGACTTAACGCCATACTGGAACATACCACCTTCATAGCTAGCCTCTCCACCACGCCATTTCATTGACTTAAAAAAAAAAAAAAAAGAAAAGAATGAAATTATTTATTTTAAAACAAATTCCAAACAGTAAAAGTTTAAAACAGCGTATGAAACTATCGTCAGTGATATTTTCTTGCTCTTGTGAGCTGGACAGCGCCATTACAATGTTCAGATTTTTCTGTCATCAATTCTATCAGGTGCTACATTAAGGAATTTCGCAGCGAATAATACTTTTGGCACGTAAGTAGAAGTTAGCCGTGTCTAACGCCGAGCGCATTTCTCTAGAGACAACGATTATTAACAAGTACCATAGTTTGTAACTTAACGTACAGATACTACGTCGATTCTAGGCAGAAGTGACGACCCATACATCGGAGCCTGAAATTCATTATCTTTTGTGATCTTTGGGATTTTTACCTAATATTTTTTGTTGGGCTAAATAGAAATGTTCACGTCAGTTGAAATGGGTTACATTAATATTTTAACACAATATGGTTAGGACTGAACTCACTGCCAGTGTGAAGAACTTGTTAATCATCAATACGTGATCACACAAACGTTTCGCCTGCAGATAACATGACCGCAATTCAAATAATTGGTCTTTTATGTGTATTTGAAGACATGACCTTACCCGACCCACACCAAAAGACGATGTGAGTGGGGAAATAAAGTTTGCTGTAAAGATTGAAAACAACTGAAAATCCCTTATAGAAAGAAAAGACTACTCATCTATATTTTCTGAATGAATATTCACTACTAAAACGTTTTTTTTTTCTCATCCGTCCAATATGAGTAGTGCAGAAAAATTACTGTCCGAGAAGAGATTCTGAAAGATTTCATTACATTTTGGCGGTTGCCTTGGGAAGTGGATCGAAATGAACTTGTCAGGACATCATCATACAGTAGTTTACTTTAAAATTCTTTCTTGGTCAAAACCAAACCGATAAGAGCGCTTCACGATAATAATGGCAATGATTCGAATTGTAGTTTACATAGAACAGTTTGAGGAAAAAAATTACTAGTTTATCTTTACGCGAGAAACATTGGATTTTATGATACAGTTCTGTAGAGATTAAGTAAAACTCTTTAAGGATTTAGAACCTTGTAATAATCAGTAAAGAAAGAATAACACATTGGTAAGAACTTCTGTTTAAAAACAATCTGAGTAAATCTAAAAAGTTTTCAGACTTGGTTAAAAAAAAAAAAAAGTTTTACGTTAGTCTTTCAGTTTAAGTAGATTTTCTTACAGGCTCATTTTAAAATCGCACTGAAAGTTTTTGTAGTAAACTTTCAACTAAATCAGAATATCTATTATTGACTGACTCTGGAAAATAATCTCTTGACTCTGTACGTCTTTCTAGCATTAACGTTCGGTTTATGTACAAAATGAGAGAAGCATTTCAGGTCAGATAATTCAAATTGAGATCACAAAAAGAATTAATTCTGACGAATTCTTTTTTCAAAAGAAAAAAAACAAAAAAACTTCGGTTATGTTCAAACAAAGCATATTGTACGTTGAATCCACTCATTTCGGATTGTAAAATTTGTATACCGGTAAATCTTTACGGAAAGCAGAAAGAGATGAAATCGAGTGCAAATATGAAGTATATTCACCATAAATATTGTTTAAGTATATTTGAAGACTAGACCTATCGACGAGCTCAGTAAAATTGCTAATCACAGTCACAACACACTACCGACTTTGGTGCTAGACCAAAGAAACGTTTTCCCCTTGGTAGTTTTCCCAACACAAAAGACGATTTGTTGATCCTTTTCTTCAGTAATGTCAATTTGTCGACCGATCTTTTGCGCTAAGCAGACACTTTCAAAACTAGATAGTTTATGAATACAGACAAGCAATATACATGCCAAAATAGAAATGTACATTGTTTTTAAAAAAATGAGTGATATTTGCGTTCATAGTTTTCTGAATTGAGAAGAACTAAATGTCTTCAGCTGTGACGAAGTTAATCTGGGAAAATAAGCAACCCGTCTCCAAATCGATACGTTATTAAAAAGAATTCCGCTTCAGTAGTTTTTTTAAATAATTAGAATAATTAAAAAGAACTCATAAAAAATGAGTTTATAAAAATGTGGAAAGATTTGAGAGTTCAGTTAGTACACATTTAAGTTTTTCCAGTAGTTTCTAATTCTGAAACCAAAAGAAAGTGTTTAGCATGGAAATTTGTGACCAGAAATAGCAAAGCACAAGCAACATTTCAGTACTAAAAAGAAATGGCTAGCTTGCAGAATATTAACAGGAAAAATTTAAAGTAATAATTAAAATTGCAGTGAGGAAACAAAAGATTTTAAAATTAACATACTCCAAGCCATCATGGATTGCTTTTCAGTTATAGTTCGTCTATTCATAAATTGTGTCGGTTAGAAATCGTTAATTTGTCAATACTGTTTTAGGCTTTCACTACATAGGTTTATTTTTTATAGTGCTAAAGATTTTGAATTAATCATGTTGTAGGTGGTGGGAGATCTAAAGACTTAAACTTAAGTATATGAAAAGGGTCATTGGAAAATAGTTTGAAACTGAAGAGAAATCGATAGAAAAGAAAAATAAATAACAGAACGCTTACCCCAGTAGTAAAAATGAGTCATCGTGCTTCATACAGTCAAATTGGAAAACTAAAATATTTAGGTAAAGCAGAAGCTGATCAAGCTACATGTATTTAATTTTTTTTTCTTTGATTTAGGAGAAAAAAAAAAACAAAAAACACTATTAAGCTAATCTATTGCGGCTTCATTTGTGTATAATTACAATTTACCGGGTATTTTTTTTTTTTTAAGCATAAAGAGCAGACCCCGTCGCCGGAGACCGAGAGCGTCAAGGGGATGCGTTAGAGAATTTGGATACGTGAATTAGTTCACATCATTTTCACAGAGGCTGCTAAATTATTTTCTGGAAATGGGACTGATGAGCGACTAGAAAGTAACGTAAGAAACTGCCCCCCACCATCTCCGGAGCTTTGCATCTTCAGATATCCAAGAATCACTGTGATATACCAATAGCAAAAAAGGCCCACTGTCAAGACCGCACAATAGGGAAAGTGTCCGTCTCCGTCCAACAGTTAGAGATTGTTTACGGTACAATGCTACAAGTAGATGTCTCAGTAAGAATCCCGTTCAATAGACAGACTGGTTCGGTACTTTTTTTTTTTTAGTATCCGGTAGTTTTAGTTGAGTATGACCATGCTTAACAAACTCAAGAGACATTTCAATTTCATGCTTAAAAAGAAAAAAATAATAAATCGGTTATTTTCCATAAATTTTTAGCCAGTGGACGCAGGCAGCTGTGCCTCGCATGTTTATATATATAATATAAACAGAAACTGCATAGCAAAATACTACACTACTACAAATTGCCAAATAACCTTTAAGTGTATTCTAGTAAAGCACAAAGTGAGGGTCGAACACACGGTTTATGATAAACTTGCGAGTGTCTCCATGCTAAAAAAAAAGTTTCGCGCACACAAACAACTTTAAGTGTAATAAATAAATTTGCATCATTAGAAATGAAAAAAAAGAGCGAGAAAGAAAAAAAAAAAAAATTACCCTCAAAAATAAAAATTAAATCCGATTTTTCACTAACATTGTGCTGGAGAACAAACCAACTTAAGCGTTGACTTCAGGTTATGATTATTACAGTCGTTTTTGTTGTACTTCTTAAAGTGCCAACAACAAACATCAGTTAAGAAGTGACTCCAGTTGGGTAGAAGGAACACCGAGTAAAGATCGATTGTTAGGTTGCCTAAAAGACGACAACTGCTCAAGTCAACAAATGCCCACTGTCTGATGGCGTGGGATGATAGAAGACAAGAAATCATGACTGTCAGCTCCTCCCCTTTTCATTAACAGGATTTTTTTCGCGGTTGCATAATGTTTTTTTTACCCTTTCAACAGCAATAGCATCTCTAAATTAATAATTACAAACTAAATTGAGAGGTCGTTTAAAAAAAAAAGTTTTCCCTATAAACGATGAGGGTTTTTAAAAAGAGTTTAGGAAAGATATCCCATAAGGTGGGGAAGTTTGATATTTTGAAAAGTTATTTTCAATCTGGATTTAAAAAAAAAAATTGTCTAAAAATAAGGGAATGTTGAACAAAGAAATTTGACGAGAATAACGAACAGTATGGTTAAAAAAAAAACAAAAAAAAACGGTAAGCGTTCCGGCGGGTATACACAGAGAAAAAAGAGCAAAAAACAGAAGACTAAGAAGAGGCTGTCAAATTTCGGCAGAAAACAGCCTTTGACTCAGAATTTTTTTTAAAATTCCAAGTGTTGTACCACCATCACCCTAGTTTTTCTGTATTCATCGGAACCACATTTACAACTTAAACGGTTTTTCGTAAGTGACTTTTTTTTAAGTCAAAGAGCAGCAGCTGACATGGAATAATTACACTTACAGTCTCTCGTTGTAGCTTCCATGCGCACACAAAATGAAAAAAATAATCAAGCAAACAACGTTTTTTATTTGTTTTGTTTTTAAAAATGAAAGTGACACACCTTAAGGCTTTACACTACAGTACACCTTACACTAGTAAGTAAAACTAAAAAAAATCGAAGTTACTAAACATGTGAACTGGTATTTACATTGATATTTACAGTTCATGATATAAAAAAAAAAAAGTACACATACAATATGAAATAAGGAAATAATCAAGATATTTAGTGTCGAATAATTTACAATATGACCATTATTATTTCTATCCCCACCATCCCTTGCTTCACCTTGCTAAGGTGCTTCGCTACTCAAGGACTTAATTTGTTTTCTTTAAAAGTTAGACTAATTGAGTTTTAAATTTAAGGGAAACTGTTAAAATCAGTCTGGTGGATTGGTGAGAGAAAGTGGGGGAGCAAAAAAAAAAAAAAAGATAAAAACAGCGTTAATGCCAAATGTAAAAAAAAAAAAAGTTTAAATACAAATTTCACAAGCAAGGGATTCAAGAAGAAAAAAGGTAAGACAATCATCAGCATCTTCTCAAATTAGAAAAATAAAGAGACGAAAAGCAGTGTCGAAAAAGTTATGATCGATAGTTTTAATAAATATTAGAAATTATTTCATTGCGTGAAATATTAGTTTCTCCCGAATAAATCACGTTGTCGTTCAATTTTTTTTTTTTTTTAAATCTAGTTTCATAAGTTTTTAAGTCGAAGGAAAAAAATTCTTAAATCAATAAAACTTTCCGTAATTAATTTTCTTTACATATGTTTTTTCTCCGTAAATCTTTTAAAAGATTCTCTTCTAAAGGAAGAGTTCAAGGTTTTAACTGACAATAGAGTTTATCGAAAGAAATCGTGATCAAGAAAACAATATACCGAACACAATAGATTCGTACTTGGTTACGACACTTCCATGTGTAGAAAAACGTGCAGGTTTAATTGACTTCATGCCAAATATTTTTTTTTTTTTTTTTTACATGTGTCGGTAAACTAAAAAGGTGCTTATTTCCGTCAAATCTGCTCAACATTTTTAAATAATCCCGAATTAGAAAATAAGTTTTAAAAATACAGTAACTGAGTAACGCATGAAATTGAAAACTTTAAATTTGTTTAAAATGAAAAAAAAAGGGGTCAACTTACCAAGTAGATATTATTGAGTTTGTATTTTATATTTTAAAGATTAAAGAATTTAGTGTCGAATGTAATCCCGAGATTGTGATATGATGTAGCATAGGGCAAAAAGTGCGAGTAGTTAGCTGTGGAAAAAAAAAAAAAAAATCTTCCTTAAAGTGTCTGTCCAGTCGTCAGCCCAAGTGCGTCGACGACAACTCAATAAGTGTAAGTGACAATACAAATCTCACCCATAGAAGTGCAGTGGTTTTAGCTGTTTTTACAAAGTCATTATCAGCGAGTTCGATATACTCCGTCCAGTAAGGTAGATCTTTGTCGGAGGCCGATATTGTATCCGAATGAAATGGCAATATGTTGTCGAGGTTATTTCCTAATGTTAAAGAAAAATTTAACATGCCTTAGGTTTTTCTTCTTCCTTTTTTAGGTTATTTCAAGCGTTACTACGGGCTCGAGCTTGAAGCGATTTTTCTCCGCCTTTAATACAAACTAATTGCAGTCGTTCCATTCACGTCAAACAATATGCCTGTGTTTGTGTGTAGGTAGACACTGAAAAATGATTGCGGGTGTGCTGACTTGGGATGGCTCTGAACCACAGAGGAGGTAGGGAAAAACACGACGATTGTAAAACGTATTTTACAAGACATTGCATTTGTTAAGTTGCGACTAGATTTAGTTAAATAAAATTAGATTTTTTTTTGATTTTTCAAAATAATTGAGAAGGCCTTTAAGGCTTTATGGATGAAATTTTTTAAACACCTATTACAAGTTTCTGCTTCTTAACCTTATCAAGTTCCAAGCGCAAACTGGTATTGGGAAAGGAATGAAGACAATTTTCTTTCGTGGAACGAGTCTGTCTTGGAAAAAAAAATGTCAAAAAAAACCTAAGCTAGACTCGAACACTAACACAGACCACTGGCGACATTTAAAGTAAAAAACACATAGGTAAGTAAGCCACAAGGTAGTATCACGTATTATTTTTGTTTTGAAATAATAAAAAAAAGAAGTTAGTTTTAGTACTACTAGACTAGTGTCAGGTAAGAAGATATTGGTACTACTTGGTCTCTCAAATAATCGATAATAGTGGAATTTCTTTGGTTATATTGGGTAAAAGCACGCGGTCCACGCCGGTAAGCTTGATAGTTGGCTAAAGAAAGAAAGAATGATTTTTTTTATGCTGTTTTGAAACTCTTTTCCGTTTTATTCGGTGAGTATCATAGGTTTACTTTTTTACACATTATGTTGAACAGATTGCCACATCGTACAACCTTGTGGTTTTCTTGTCAAACTCTTGAAATAGTGCCCCGTGTATTGAAGCATTGAATTTGAATAGTACTTACTTTTTACACTCTCACTAACTAGCAGATTAAAATAAACTTACCGCATTAAACACTTGGCCTTAAAAAAATCAACTTAAATTTTTTTAATTATGAGCTGTTTTTGTTTACCTTTTCTTTAAAAAGGTATTTTCATTAAATACTTTATCATCCATGTCTGTATCGGTTTCTTTGTGTTGATGAACCACAATGAAAATAAAACAGAGGTTTACAAATTAATCATACATTTCTTTTTATTATGTGGCAACTGGCTAATGTTTCACTTGGTTTAAACTAGATTTGTAATTGGAAAAGAAATCTACAAGTTTATGTTGATTAAAAATCCCAAAGATAGGAGGAGATAATGTGTATTGTGTAGTTATTCGTGAAATAGAAATTAAATCTCTGGGGTAGGGAAATTTAAGTTAAGATTCCCTCAGAGGCAATGAACATGAAAATATTGGATATTATTGTGATTACTTAATTTTTAAAAGCTTAAATCCGATATGCAGTTATAAAAGTGGTGTTCGGACGAGAAAAAATGATTCACGAGCCATGAAAAGTGTTTCACGGGTAAAACAAACTGTGTATATACTCAATCATCAACGATGATTGATTTCTATTTCTCTTTAGAACTAGGCATCAACTGACGCAACACACTGATATTTTTGGGAAATCTGGGAATATTAGCGTAAGCAGAAAGACACAGGTAATATAATTTTTTTATATATTTGAAAAAATGTCATTTGTCATTTACTACTTGTTTTACCAAAAACCACTGACTCTTAGTCTTAATTGAATTCTTAAAGATTTAAATTATAATCGCATATTAACATGCACGGATCTTATTCTTGCTACAAGGAAAACGCTACTGGTACAGTTCGTCTTCATCCTCATGAAGGCTGTTGGTTTTTCAATTTTGGGCAGGGTCATCCGACGAAGTCTGTTATTGGTTTCTTTCTCATCTAAAAGCCGCAAAATTTGGTGTGAAAATTCTAAAACATTTCGTACAGAGTATTTAAAATCTGTAATGTTTTTTCTTTTTTAAATCTTATGTTATTAAGAAATCAGTCACTTGATTCTGAATGTTTTGTGACTAAGTTTTTTTTAACAATTTCTAAGACGAGACTTTTTTTTAACGGTAACGTATGACAAGTAATTGGGGGAAAAAAGCAGCATTTATTCTAAGTAAGATAAAATCTCGGTCCAATTGTGTTGAACTATTTATTATCCGCTCAGTACAGTATACTACACAACAAACCAGTGAAGCGCAAACTACTTTTTAGCCCTGTCTTTTAAACAGTGGAAGGTGGATAGCTTATCTTCGGCAAAAGGTCATAATTATGAAACACTCACTAAGACTCGAACTCGTTTATGATATTCACGTGTTCAATTTCCTAATTATTGCACCAGAATGAAGCGTTCTTAGGTTTGTCAGTTTCCAATACAAGAAGAATAAACAGTGGTTGGTACGTCTCGCCTCACAGTGCTTACCTAATGTAAATTCAAGATAGACAAGTTGTTCAAAATACGTGTACTCGAATATTTTATGTCAATTTTAAAACTCATCTCCATCAAAATAGATGTGCATCTCTTTAATCATTTTTGATTCTAGTTGCCGAGGTAGTCTAAAAAGAAGTGAATACAAATTTTTAAGGTAGAAAAGCTCTTATTTTGAGGAGTGACTAGCGTAAAATACATAACCTACCTAGCGAGCTTGAGATGGAGGGACAGAATTTTAGGAGCGATAACACTAGTAACACAAAAAAAAAATATAAATTATTAATAGCTGCAAAGGACAGGAAGTTGTGGAGAACTATGATCGCCGTCATGTAGGGACACGGAACATAAGTAGCTCAATAGTCAATACGGTTTTATAAGCATTCCAAATACGCTATCCAAGAATGTATCAACAAAAATGGGCTCATCTGATATGTCCATTTTATTTACCTGTTTCAATTTAAAGGTAGGTGAGAGAGAAATGTGGAGAGTGGGGGGAGTTATAAAAAACCCGAAGAAAATCTAAAAATGCATCGGTGGGGGTGAGAAGAGGAAATTAAATGGATTGACAGAAGGAAGAAACAACGGAATGGAGAGAAGAAAGAAAGAAAAGAGAAATCGAACTGTGAAAGAAAGGAAGAGATAAGACAATGGGGAAATTGTGCCAGATAAAAAAAAAAGTGAGACGAGTAAAAAAAAAAAAAAAAAAATCTATTTGAAGCGTGGTACCAGAAAATAAAGGATGGAAAAGAATATAAGCAAAATCCCACGAGGTTAACCGATTTCTTGTGATTTATCACAAAATATTTTGCCATGGCATTCTGGTGCTAAGATTAAGGACCGGCCTTGATAAAAGGGTATTGAATGATGGATTGATTAATGATGATATAGCTTTATCGGAAGCAACATATTTTTTTTTTCTTTTCCGTTTTTAAATGCCTGTTAACTTTGATTTTTATGAAAGTAAATCGCCTGTTTAGCGTCACATTTTGCTTTTCTTTTTGTTAATTAATGTCAAACCGAATATTCCAAGTGAATTTTAGTTTGATTCTACAATTATTTATGATTCCTTTTTTAGTTTTATCACCTGTCTTCAGTCTTTAATTTCGATGACAAGAACTTCCCGTAAAAATTGTGCGTATACGCATGTTGCTTGATATTATCGATGTTATTTTTAATTTTAAATCTTCTAATTTTCTATTTACAAAGTTTGCTGTTTACTGCAATATATATACATTGTGTGTGTGTGTACCGAATAGGTAGAAATAAGAACGAGTGATGGTAAAATACTCTACATTCTACAGAGTAAGAAAAAAAACAGTGTTCATCAATGTTAAATAACAGAGCTTAAAATATATAAGAAATAACACCTTAATTGCACAACTCCGAGTTTCATGCCAAAGCAATTGTCAAGTGTTGGAATTATTATTTTTGTATATTTCTTAAGTTTAAAGTGTGTGTGTGCGCGCGCGCGCGCACGCAAGTTTTCATCACATGAATGCCACTTTTAATCCCTGAGGAGAATGACATCAATTTATCAATCACATTTGCTTTTTTTTTTCTCACACAATTTTATTTTGACACTTGTCTATGAAAAATAAAGCTTTTTTCTTCTTCTGATTCTGAGAACTAAGTAGAAACACACTGAAATTGTATTTTTTGTTTTCGTGACTTGTTTTCTTTTAAAGTGTTGTTTTGCATGCTATTATCACAAAATAATATATTTTCAGAAATGTTAAATGACAAAGTGCGTGCACGCACCACGCACATGTTAGTTAAAAAAATACAAGGACGCGTTTTCTTTTAGTTGGAGTACACAGTGATATCCTTGAAAAATTCTATCGACACATTTACTTACAATTTTGTCGTTGACGTGTCCGCAGAATAGAAACCCTATTGTGTATCCACCTTCAACGAAAACGGTTTTGATTCAATAATACACCGACATTGATAATAACGAAATCACGCACTGGTTAAAGAGAAAGTGGACATCCCAATACAAAGCAAAGGGTTGATGTACCCAGTAAAGCACACGTGTGAAGAATAATGATAGATAAAGGAAAGCCAACTAAAATCTTCTCTGCTGATGTCACGAATCGAGCTCGGAACGAGAAAGAAACAAACAGGTAAAATAATCGAAAAAAAAAAAAAAAAAAAAAGTGGGGAAAAAGAAAACACACACACACGACTGTGTCAACTTAGCATCAGAAACTGAACAAGTTTTATGTTTCTAGCCTAAATAAGCAGGGCATCATATAACACGAAATATACGAAAATACTTAAGCTGACCTTTAGCATAGTTTGGCACAAGGCTACACCAACGAGGATCGAACTCACTACAATACATACTAAAAAACGCAGTGGATAAAACTGGTTTGTTTGGCAAGCTTGCGAAAGACTTGCAAAATCGAAAAATTTACTTTGTCGGTACACTATATTGTTGCAATTGTAAAATAAATGCCATGACAAAAGAAAGATCGTGTGTACGGGTACATGCCATCAAGTGAAAAATTAACTGCGACTTTCAGAAAAAGAAAAAAAATTGTTTGGCAGTACGAACATAATTAATGCGTATGGAAGAGTTATTTTATTTACCTTGGGGCATTTTTCAAATCTTTATTTTATTTTGTTAATTAATTTAAAACTCCATTTAGAAGCAAAGGGTCAGAAAAGATGTGTATGTGTGTTGCGCAGGGATAGGTACAAATGCAGTTTTTATTTTTGATTCTGGTCCCATTTTCGAAAAGTACCTGATTAAACAGCTGCACAAGGTGTGTAGGAAGGACCACAATTCTTAACTTGTACCTTGGGCCTGGGTTAGTCCAAGACTTAATTATTTGTACCGCTTCATTTTAACTACGGTCCCACCAATACCGGAATAAATGAATGAATGAAGTATTCTGTTTGTACTTGATTCTAAAAAAAAAAAAAAAAAAAAAAAAAAAATTATCCCAAATAAAACTAGATTGCGCATTGTCCATCCTTCAAGCTTTGTCAAGGTATGGGTCCTCAAAGGGCTAGTTTCTTCAGGGTCGTGATTACGTAAGCCATTCATTTTAAGCAAAAAAGTTAAATATCTGACTACCTTGCGCGTGTAAAGTGTTGTTTCTTTTCGGTAAAGTAATTTGCGTGTGTGTCTGTGTGCGTGTGTTTGCCGAGAGAAGACGCGTATCGATATTATTGTGATTGTATTTTGAGAAAAGCGAAATATTGACATGCTGCTGATTCTTCTTCTTACCGGACTTGATTTGCTTAATGAAATAAGAAATCTTGTACAATAATTCTGTTGTTTTAGAATATTGGTTCAGTTATTATAATCATAAGTTTTTTAAGTTTTAACTTTTACCCCAGCCAGATCAATCAATTACTACCTCTCTACCTTAGTCTACAAACCAGGTAAAATAAGTAATACAGTAGTACACCGACTTTGAAGATATGAAACTGGCGTTGGCACATTTTAATGGGACTGACTACAGAAGAAAAATTGTACTAAGACTACACTACAGAAACCAGTATTTTATATTACCAGGAAAATTTACCTTTAGTCCTCATACTCAAATGAAAACGTCCGAACGTAACTAATCAAAACATTACTGTTTATATATATATATACACACACACACAAGTGAACATTGAAGTCAACACTTAGAAGCGACAGTCTGTTTCATGCTAGACGCAATCATCAGGCCAATCTTCATAGGCAGCATATTTTCCTTCAAGCATGTTTCATTTAAAAAATATAAACATATTATTATGTTTATTTTTCTAATAATCCTTTCTAGTTATCTAATTATCTTCTTGGTGTTGAAATCGATCAAAGAAAGCGGCGTATTTTTGTTAACCCAAGTACTTTCGATCTCCCCCCGAGATCATCCTTAGGGCTGAATTGTGAAGACAAACTTATTAATGTAACTGTGTAGTAGTGTAATCGTTGCATAAAAATAATTTAATCTCTCAACCGTCACGTTTTTGTTAATTTTTTTGGTCTTATTTTCAATATTAAAAAAGAAGACGTATATTCTCGCTTTTAATTTCACATTATGTTGTAAAAATAGATGAGGAGCGAAAGAAAGAAAAGTTTAAAAATCGTTTAGAAAAAGATCAAACGTATGGTCAGTTTTAATGGAAATTGATGAAGAAATTTACTAATGAAATTATAAGAATTTAAAAACTATATTATCGAGAAATACAGTCGACACGTGCGCATAGAAGTATTGTTTTTTTGTCTTTCTTAAAATACGCTATCTTCCACCTTTACTACCTCCTAAAACAATCCAATAAATCAACAAATAAGGTTTTTTCATCGTTTGCATTTTTCTTTTTGGAAGGAATTAAGTTAATATTTGTTGATAAGAACATTATTAAAAATTCTAGAGGAAAAGCTGGGAAAACGATATATTAATCAATAGATAAGGTTTTCGTTTCGGTGATAGCCAAAAAAGATGAATGTAGTTTTACTTGCTAATTCGATCTGTTTCTTTGATGTTGCACATATGAAATATCGAAAATGTCTAACAGAACAGGCGATTTATAGATCAGATTTTTCCCTTCATGTTTGTTTGTTTTTTTTTTTTAGCAGCTATCTACAAGCAAAAAAAAAACACACACAAAAATAAACTATAATCCAGGTACATCAATATTTATAATTGATAAATCAAATTGTTTGTTTATAGTTTACAGTTACACATAAAAAAAACCGTGTCCAAACAACAAATTAATAAACGTATCTATAAACAAACGAAGTTTAGTACATACTGTGTACATTGTACATAAAGAACTAGTGAGAACAACACACAGTTGAGTAAATACACACGCATATCTATGTACAATTTCACTCAGTGTGCAACATTTTCTTCTTAAGTATGAATTTAATTTTAAGTCACTTTCAGATCGTTCAGAGGAAAAAATGCACACCTTAACACCTGAAGTGAAGTCTGTCTTGCTGTAAAGGTTTTTTTTCGCCCTGATCAATTTCCCTAAAATCAGAACAACTCGCCTTTAGTTTTGACAATAAACTTTTTCACTGGTCACCCATACCCTGGTTTCTGAGACACATTTAAAAAATGTAAATGGATGCATTTGAAGATATTCTTATGTGCACATAAATGCAGCATATGCATAATGTAACAGTAACGGGAATATTTACATGGTCGATTAGGCGCTTATTATTGGCGTGGCGTGCGTTATATGTGGATTGGATATATCAGGTGAATGAATACAATAAATTGCTGATTTGTTTTAATTTGAAACTATATGCAGTTTAAACTTTACACTCATGCCAGTGGCTGTGCATAGGTGTGTGCACATTATTAAAAAGCTACGACCCTAAAATATTTTTTAATATTTTTTTTTTAGTTATTAAATTCTTAGATTCTCGAAAATATTTTTTACTTTTCCTTCAAAGATAATTTTTTATTTTATTTTGCGAGAAGTTTTCAGACAAAAATGACATACCACTTGCTTGAAGTATCATTGCATAAAAAAAAAAAAAAAAAAAAAAAAAAAAACGACAGAAGCATTGAAACTATATTCAAAAGTCAAAACTGAAGCATGCTTCTACTGGACTACGAAAAAAAAATCTTAATCAATGTTTTTGGTTTTCGATAACATCGAAACAAAAAGC